TGTAACAAGATCATCTGGCCTATCCAAGATCATCCTCCAAGGGACAGTACAGGGGAAGAGGAGAAGAAGAGGTCGATAGAAGAAGAGGTGGATTGACAACATAAAAGAGTGGACACAAGTGGACTTCGCGGAGACTCAAGCACTGACACACAATTGTCAGGGGTGGAGACTGTTGGTTAATTGCTCATCAGTGATGGTGCCTCAATGACCAATGCGGTTATGGGAGTGATGATGATGAACAACGAAGGTCCTGGCTTTTTTATGCATAAAACTGGTTATTGTGGCTCAGGTGGGCCGTGGAATTTTTATAGTATGTTGGGGGTGAAGGGGCGGAGCTCAGGAAAAAAACAGTTGAGAACCCCTGAATTAGACCAGTTGAAAGAAAAGGAGTCAAAGGGGACTGGCAGTTTGTCAAAGATGTAATACTAGAGGCTTAACATCAAGCTATTCCAATGCAGAGGAAAGATAAGAACCACCACAGGAAGCCAGTGTGGCTGCACAAGTAGCTTTTTAGCCATCTAAAAACCAAAAAGGATAATGTAGGAAATGGGAGGGGCATGTCACTAAGGAAGTATTCATGGGAATAGCGCAAGCATGTAGGGACAAAATCTGGAAAGCCAAGGCAAAGAATACAGCTGGCAAGAAATGTTAGAGACAACAAGAAGGGATTCTTCAAATATATCAGACAAAAAAGAAAGATCAGTGATGGATCAAAGGGTCAAAGGAGAAGGTGAGCTGGTAATGGAAGATGATAGGAAGGCAGAGCTTCACAATGCCTACTTTGCTTCAGTCTTCTCACAAAAAATAACATGTGACCAGACGACTAACAAAGTTACCATAGACAATAAAGGGGAAGGAATGCAGATCGGGATAAGTAAAGAACTCAGAGATTTTCTGATCCATTTGAATGAATTCGGGTCAGTGGGGCCTAATGCTATTCACCATAGGGTGCTGAAGGTATTAGCTGAAAAAATCTCAGTGCCACTAGCAATAATATTTACAAACTCATGGATGACAGGAGAGGTCCTGGAAGACTGGAGAAAGGCTAACATAGTGACCATCTTTAAAAAGGGGGGAAAGGAGGAGCCAGGAAACTATAGACCAGTTGGCCTACCTTGATACCTGGAAAGCTACTAGAGCAATGTATAAAACATTCAATTTGCAAATATCTAGGGGATGAAGGGGTGATCACTAGCAGCCAGCATGGATTTACTAAGAACAGCTTGATTTCCTTCTTTGACAGGGAAACTAGCTTGGTGGATAGGGCAATATATCTGGACTTAGTCCCACAAGACATTCTGATAAGTAAGCAGGAGAAATGCAGGCTCAGTGGAACTACCATTAGGTGGTTACATAATTGGTTAAATAACAGCAAACAAAGCGTAACTATTAATGGAATTATGTCAGATTGGAAGGTGGTCTCAAATGAGGTTCCACAGGGATCTGTTCTGGATCTGGTGTTATTTAACATCTTTATTAATGACCTGGGTGTAGGAATAGAGAGCAAACTGATGAAATGTATAGATGACACAAACCTGGGGAGGGTTGCAGACAATTTGGAGGATAGAGCTAAAATTCAAAGAGATTTTGATAAATTGGAGAACAGGGCTATAGGCAACAAAATGAAATTCAACAAAGACAAACGTAAGATGCTACACTTAGGAAAGAAAAACCAAATGCACAAAAATAGCATGGGGAATAACTGGCTTGTCAGTATGTGGGAGTTGTGGTGGATCACAACCTCAACATGAGTCAACAATGTGATGCTGTTGCAAAAAAAGCAAATGCGATTTTGGGTTGTATTAACAGAGGCATAGCATGCAAGTCACGGGAGGTGATAGTAGTGCTCTGCTTGGCACTGGTTAGGCCTCAGCTGGAGTACTGTGTTCAATTTTTGTCACCAGTGTATAGAAAGGATGTAGAGAAAATGGAAAGGATCCAGAGGCGAGTGACAAAGATGATCAAAGGGATGGAATGGAAGCCATGTGAGCAAAGGCTGAAGGAACTGGGTATGTTTAGTTTGGAAAAGGGGAGATTAAGGGAGGGGATGTGATAGCAGTCTTCAAACACTTGAAAGATTGCCATGAAGAAGATAGAGAAAAGTTGTTCTCTCTTGCCACAGAGGGCAGGACAAGAGGCAGTGGGTTCAAACTATAGCATAGCAGATTTAGATTAAAGCTCAGGAAAAAATTCCTAACTGTAAGAAAAAGTAGGACAACGCAACAAACTGTCTCAGATGGTTTATACACAACAAATCCTGACTCTTAGCAGGGGGTTAGACTAGATGACCCTTGTGGTCCCTTCTAGCCCCATGATTCTACTGTGGTGTCTTTAGGAGCCATGCTGCTTTGGGGTTCACCTTCACTCTTCCAGGCCGAAGTTAATGCTATGAGGAGCACCATTAACTTCTGTGGGGCCGTACAGTTAGGAGGGGAGTATGCCCCACAGAACAGCTGCTTCCCTGCCTGTTAGCAGTAGATAAGTATGTTGCATTTTTCTATTAGACTTTTGTAGTTATAAGTGATAATAATAATTAATAAAAACATTTTCCTCTGAGTTGTGTGTGAAGGAAGCTTCTGTACAGTAATTGGACAGTATGCTAGTTTTATATATTAGATTAAGCTTGTTTTATAATATTGAGATACTTTTCTATATCTTTTCCAGAACAAAACACAGCATAGTTTGACTGCATCATTCACCATAACAGGAGAGGAAAAGACTAAGGTAACACTGAATCATAGATAACTGACTAAATGTGGTACTTCTAAGGATTCTTCTGTGTACTATTTTGGGTAGTAAAAAAGAGCTTTCTGGGTGCCAAATAGTGACTCTCTTACTTAAAAAATAGTCCCATTGAAGTCAGTTACAGGAATTTAAATTAAAGAACTACTTGTGTGAATAAGGTAATCACAATTTGGCCTTTGGTTTGTTTGGCCAATGCTGATTACTGTGACTTGCAAATGAGGTTTTTCCTTCTATTACCCAAACAGAGCAGGCTTATATTTAAGCACCAGAATTCTTAATGTAGAAGCTCCATGGCTTTATGCTATATTCAGATCCAGTTTTCCAAATGGAAGGCTGTGCAACCCCAGAGAATGGCAATGAGCATTCTAACTTGCTGCTGGGCATATCCAGCATGAATTGGGCTTTTTGTTTCCAGTGCTCATTCCAGAAGGGTGCAAGTTCTCTTACATCTACTGAGGAGGGGCACTAAACACTATGCTGATTCAAATACCCGTGCTGGGGGACTGCATGGGTAAAAATTCAGCAGAAGAGGAATAGTTTAATTTCCATCCTGCTCTTTGACCAGTCATCCCTCCAATATGTATTTCTGTCCTTTACTAATGAAAAATGTGGCTTCTAATGGTTCAAATAAGCCAGCAGAATAACATTGATTTCAGCAAGCAGTGCTGTTTGTCCCTCATTTTTCCATTAGAGAACTTCTCCCTACATCTATTGCTTCCCTTGCTAGAGTAATTTCTTCACCTAACCTCATTCTCTGTCTTCCCCATCCCCTCCCCCCTTTTGTTACTCACGCAGGCTATTTCATTGTAGGGAATCTTTATTAAGTAGTGGTGGCCAGAGTGGTGGGAATGCTGATCGCTTGCACTCAGGCAAAAGAAAATAGTTTATTTCTCCCCAAAGCTATGTTGCCATGGCTGTGTCATTTAAAGTCTAAAGGTCATATTGATAGGACAATTGCAGAACAAGTGGAAATGGAGAGGAAATATTGCAGATGCAGAAAGCAGCAGCATTTGTGCAGTGTTTGAGTAAACAGGAACTGGCATTCCACTGTGAAGGTGAAGTTATGGAATCTTCAAGAAAAGTGAGAATTAAAGGGCTACTGTACAAGTTTGATCTTTTCTTTTCTGTTATATGATTTGTAAGGGGAAGGGAATTACTAGCAAATACTCCACTGTCTCGGATTTCTCAAAGCCAAAGGAATAACAATATGTCCAGGTGACTTTCAAAATTGAAATTGTTTCTTCTGCCACCAGTAAGTGTTGGCTTGACCTGTGAGCTGATTTCATATTTTTACATAATCAAGAAAAGTTTCAGGGCAGATAAAATATTTTATAGAGTCGGAGTGAAAAGCACCCAAGTCCCATTTTCAAAAGGGACTGAGGAGCCTAAGGGCTTGTCAAAACAGGGACACCCAGGAAGGTTAATACAAGTTTAACTAAAGGTGTGAATTTAATGTGCATTAGTTAAACTGTATTAAACCCCTGTATGTGTGCTCTTACTCAGAATTAAAATGGCCTTAGTTCAGTTTAGTTTAATTCTCAAAGTTTACAGGACTACATAATGCAAACTAGGTATCATTTAATTCACTCCCACAGGGACTACTATGCAGGGCAGTTATAGCACAGCGCAGCATACTAGTGTGTGCTCCAGTTCACACCCCATTGCTCCAAACTGCGGGGCCATGTAGACAAACCCATAGGCTCCTAAGCGCCCACGTTTCTTTTGAAACTTTTGAATGCTCAAAAGTTCCAGAATTAGGGTTCTCTGAACATTGCTTGAAAAAGGAGGTTAGAGTAAAATGTTGAATAGCTGCTCCTTAAGTGAGCACCATCTACCCTGCGCACTGAATGAGGCTGGGATCCTGTGGGGAAAATAATATGTAACCATATAATTAAGCACTGTATAAATAATGCATACAGGCAAGGGGACCAAATAAAGGTTGCACAGTCAACCTTAATTCTGGCATTTCCTAGCTTTTGAGTGCTTGACTTTGCAATTTAAATAATGTTCTTTTAATGTAATGTTTTGTATGTAATATAATTTTGGCTGCTTTTAAGGTGATCAGTGTTTTGTCCTATTGAAAAAGTAAGTTAATAAGATGGTTTTCTTTTGCTCTTCATTTGCTCCCCTTTTCCCATCTATTTTATTCCTACCCTAATGCTTACTGATAGAACAGAAGTAGAAAGAGTTAGGAGGTGGATCACAAAAATGATTAGAGGCTTAGAAAGACTGCTGTATATGGAGAACGTGTGCATATTGGAACTGTTTTAGTTTAGAGATGGGACAGCTAAATGGGGCATGAGAGATGTAACCAGAATAATGATTGGTATATTAGAAGAGGTAAAGTGGGTAGGGTAATATCTCTTACTGGACCAGCTTCTGTTGGTGGAAGAGACAAGCTTTCAGGCTCCACAGACCTCTTCTTCAGGTCATGGATGTAAATCAGGAGCTCTTATTTTCCTTTTCTCATAATACAAGAACAAGGGATATTCAGTTAAATTGAAAGATAAAGAATTTAAAACGTATAATGTGGTATTTTTCCCATAGTGCATTATTAAGGTGGGGGATTCAGTGCCAATGAATAAGAGCTTAGAAGTTTTTGAAAAAACAGACATTTAAATGGATAACAGTATTCACAGTTACGTTAGAGAGAACCTTTTAAAAATTTAGTTTCTAAGCTCTCATGCTAAAGGACATTACTCATTCATTAACTGACAGGTTAAGAAAAACATTCTTTATGGGTAGCTTATAAATTTGTCTGAAGCAGCTGTAACTGGCCATAGTGTGAGACAAGGTGCTGGACTGCTGGTCTGATTCAGTGTTGCAATTCCCGCAGAATATTACTTTAACTTCAAACTTCTGTACTACTTTTTTCTAGCTCTGGCCTGATTCTTAGACCTCAATGAGATCTGCAAAACAGGCAATATTCGAACAAAACCGGTTCAACCATTTTTTGAGATATACATGCACAGCATTTCTCATTAAATAGAACTTAAAAGGAAAAGTATGTTGTATATTCTGTTGTTTAAAAATACATTTATAGAGCTCAAAAAGGCTGAATGGATTTTGTTTTCCACATACAATATTTCCTTCTGGACTGAGACCAAGCATGAAACATTTCAGAAAAAATTGGATTTGCGTGAGAAAATTATGAGTAGTGGAAAAAAAGAGAGGTGGGTTGTAGTTCATCCTTTACAACAGCTGTCACTAATGCTCCCAGTCTAGTTTCTTATATGCAAGACTGCCCAAATACAAGTGCATGCAATATCTGTGAAGGCAATGGTTTTATATATATGGGCAATAATTTGACCTTTAGCACAGAGTGCTAAAGAATTAATTCTGTATTTATGACAGTACCATGTTTTAAGTTAGTCCCAAAGAACTGTCAACCCTCAAATGGTCTGATTGCTTACTTGGTTGACATGCCACTCTTTAAAGTTTTACAAACCTTGTGCATTTTCTCTTCTGCTTCACTGGAGAAAAATGCTTGGTTGCCTATAACAAGTTAGTTCCATGGCCTAGAAAAAAAATGTGAGTGCTGTTTGAGTGGCATGTAGATGCCTTGCAGCTCTGCTCATTAGGGCTGTGAAAACTACTTGCCTCTGTTTCTGGCTGAATGTTTTTAATGCTAAGTGAGAAGCTGTTTAAATAGCAAAAAGTGCACACAAAAAGTTCTCCTGTTATGTGCATCCCATGGTGTGCATAATAATAAATACTATGCACACCTATGGCCTGACTTTCCGTCATTGTCAGCACCTTACAGCTTCCATTCAGGTTAATGGGAGTGAAACATCTCTGAAAATCAGATCAATAATGACTTCTGGAAGTTCACACCATGAATCAGTGGCAGGAGTAAGAGAGAGAGAGAGAGAGAGAGCATAAAATAAACCTTAGTTAAGCAATTGCTTAACTGATTACCCATACCACCTTTCTTAGGATTCTCTGAATTTCTGTTGCTTAATGGTGGATGGTGACTTTGTTTTAATGTTTTGACTAAGGCCATGTCTACGCTACAAATTTTGGTTGCCGCTGTAGTTAGTATATCTCTTGTGCACTTGCATACTTGTCTCCTTGCGTCGGTGCTGTGAGTACTCACCAAGAGTTCTGATATTGATGCACAGTGCAATGCACCATGGGTAGATATCCCAGTATCCCAGCCCACTTTTGGGAAGCTTTGGAAATCCATGGTGGGGCCACAAGAAGGTGACTGGGAGCAAGGGGTCAACTTCCCAGCGTGCAACTGTCTCCACCCCATAAAATATCATCTATATTCCATATCTTTTTCAAAATCACATGAATTCACATGGCCTGCCTCTCTATCTGCCATCTCTGGCAGAAACATAGACCCTGAACGGCTCTGCACTATTGTCATAAGCGTTGCAAGCACAGGACGCGCTAGCCTCCAATATTTGCAGAGCTCTAAGAATAACCGAATCATCAGAGCACATGATTTGTTGCAGTACAGATTTCTGTGGGACATAGTGAGAACCAATTCATGGTTGTTGGTGGCATTCATGGAACAGCTGCAGACAGTGCAGCGCCACTTCTGGGCCTGAGAAACGAGCCCTGACCAATGGGATTGCATTGTAATGCAGGTTTGGGATGATGAGTAGTGGCTGCGGAACTTTTGGATGCACACGGCCACATTCCTGGATCTGCATGCTGAGCTTGCCCCAGCCCTCCAGTGCAGGGACACCAGAATGGGAGCTGTACTGACAGTGGAGAAGCAAGTGGAGATCACACTGTGGAAACTTGCAACGCTAGATTGCTACCTGTCAGTGGGAAATGAGTTTGGAGTTGGAAAATCCATTGCGGGAGCAATTGTCATGCAAGTGTGCAGGGCCTTTATCGCCTCCGGGCTACGCAGGATGTGATTCTTGGCAATGTGCTGGACGTTGTGGATGGATATGCAGCAATGGGGTTTCCGAACTGCCATGGAGCAATAGATGGCGCACGCATCTCTATTTTGGCACCAGACC